TCTTTTCCTTTACTGGACTGAATTTCTTGGGTTTGTGAAAATTCTGGATTATTTGAAAAATGTTCTTGAGAAAAATGATCTGGTGGGCTGTATTTAACTAAGTAATCAAATTTTTCCCTGGGCTGTCCTAAAATATCTCAAATTTCTTTACCCTTTTCTGTAACAGATTTGTCAGTCTGCTGAGTCTGATTATCTATTTTAGTAGAGGAATCAACAGTCCCCTGAGTCTGTTGGGCTTTTGGTAAGTCCACAACCATCAACGGATTTGATAAGTCTTTACCAGCTACCGTTTGGGCTGGACTAGCTATGGACTTCTTGGGCTCCATAGTACCTGTTGGATAATGGACTTTCACGTGATCAACCTTTCTAACTTTCTTAAGTTAGGGGATCCATGTTTGAGGTCGTTGCGTTGAAAAAAAAGCAAAATATTTGAGAAATCAACAGAACAACACAAGAGCTGTTAAACGACACTTGTGTTGTTCTATCTATAAACGTGATTATACGTAGCCACGATCCATCCATGCCCTAAGAATCAATAAGTTGAACTCATTTCAATTGCAATATGAACATTTCATTTACAAAAGTTGAGAGATTTACTCATTGATTATATTTTCTAACGAATCAATACAATGACTTATGATTTCACCAACTCAAATGTCGTATAATCTATGTCAATTCAACCGTTCTTTGTCATGTGATCAACCTTTCTAACTTTCTTAAGTTAGGAGATCCAAGTTTGTGGTCGTTGCGTTGAAAAAGCAGCAAAGTGTTTGAGAAATCAACAGAACGACACAAGAACTGTTAAACGAAACTTGTGACGTTCTGTCTATAAACACGTTTATACGTAGCCACGACCCATCCATGCCCCAATAATCAATAAGTTAAACTCATTTCAATTGTAATATGAACATACCGTTTACAAAAGTTGAGAGATGTGCTCATTGATTATATTTTGTAACGAATCAATTACAATTTGATATCACATGATCTATGTCATTTCAATCATTCTTTATCATGTGAATAACTTTTTTCATTTTATTTATGGTAGATGGTCCAATGCTTGACGTCTTTATCTTGAAAATAAATCAAAATATTGGAGAATTCAACGAAACGACATAAGTTCCTTTATTGAGAAAAAAAACCCTTATATTGTTTTATTTGTAAAAACGAATACAAGCAGTCACGCTCCATTCGTGTCTCAATAAATAATAAGTGAAACTTGTTTACATTATAATATGTACATGAAATGTACAAAGGTTAAGTATTGTGTTCATTAACTTAATCGATGGGTATGAGTAGGATGACTTGTGTTTTCACCATTTCGATAGTATAAAAGCTATGTTATTTTAACCGTTCTTTATGATATTGTCAACATTTCTATTTTACATATATTATGGACTCCGTTATTAGAGATTATTTAATTGAAAATGATTAAATATAGGTAAAAACTTTTGAACGATACAAGTATCGTTAGTGGACATGAAAATGACACATGTGCTGTTACATGTGTAAACATAACTATAAGTAGTTATGATCCACACGTGTCCCTAAAAAATAATAAGTTGTACTTATTTATGTTGTAATACGCACATGACATGTACAAAAGTTGATAGATATGCTCATTAATTTAATCAATATATATGAGTAGGACAACTTATGATTTCACTATCTTGATAATATAAAAACTATGTCATTTCAATATTTCTTTGTGAAATGATCAATTTTTCTTTGTTATTTACGTCAATAGTTCATTATTAGAGATTATTTCGTTGAAAAAATCAAATCACAGTAGATAACGATTGTAGTGCTATTTTACGCAGTGAAAAACGACTGGAGTGACGTTTTATATTTTGTATAATAGTTGGAGTGTCATTACCATCTAATAGTTGTAGAAAATGCAAAAAAATATACTAAGTATAAAAGCAACACCAACTTAAATATTATTCAATAATAAATGTACAATTTATATAAAATTTCTAAAATTATCTTTCTTCTTTCTTCAAATTTAAATGGGATCTTTCAATATAGATGATAAATGTTCAAATGATATTCAAAATGGTAAAGAATATAATGAAGAATAGGATTTTAGAGTAGCAGGAATGGTTAAAGAGAAGAAATCAGGTTACTGTAATTTTCGGGACCAGAAATTGAATTGGAGAATTTAATTGGATTGATAAGGGTGTTAGGGTCTTTTCCAATAATGAGGGTATTTATGACATTTGATATTATTTGTTTATTGTGCTTAATAGTTGAAGGCTATTTGTTCAAAAAACATTGAAAAGAGGTTGTATAATCGATAACATTGTTTGACTAAGTTTTTTAACAAATTTCTCCCAATTATTATTGTTTCAATTTTTAATCTAATCATCTCTCTCGAAAAATCCGAGGAATTGTCGACCGACCAATGTCATGGCCACCGCGGCCCGCCACTACCCGTCCTTGGCGACTATTCCTCAACCCTACAAGTCTTAGCCTCCCTATCTCCTTCTCTGAAGCCAGCTTTTCTCTCACCCAAGACCTCCGCTAGTGTTTGAAATTGGGCTTTTTTAGGGTTTTCAATTTACTTGGGGAATTATGATTTGGATAGCTTTTAGATTGCTGTTTTGAATTGTATTTTTGTACGTTCATGATTGAAATTTATCTAATTCCTTTGTTCAATTAATGAAACTTAGAACTTAGAAGCCCAAGGCCTGTGAAGCCCTCGAGCCTAATTCGGTGAATCCTGAAGTCTGCTCAAGTCTCAATATACTCTGTGATTGTGTCTGTGACTGTGAGTTTGCTTACTCTGTCTCAGTGACTGAAGCCTAGTGTTGGTGGTGGTGGTGGATTAGGGAAAGTTTCACAAAATTTATATATGGGGGGAGTTAATTAAATCACCAATCATCAACATTTACGGTCGGTTACTACTTGCTCATCCAAAATTAATTGGTTACCGAATGCTCACCCACTTTTAAAAACAATTACCCATTCATCATCAATTTCACTTCCATCCGTCCAACCAGGCAAAAAACTCCACTTGGCCGACGAAAATCTTATGTGCCACTAACACCATTAAAATTTGACAAGCGGCCACTAATTAAATTGCTTTCTTCCCTCAAATATTGTGTTTGGCAAATGTTATAATAGAGTAGAAATTTCCTTGTCATGAAAGCAAGTTTCTGGTGATCATAGATACAAATGCATTTGTAATTTTCAGCTGTACCAACCACAGTCGAAGTATGTTTGGCAAATTTGAATTAAAAAAATTCAGCCTTCACAGATGATTTCCTTAGCTCCCTGCTGAGCAAGATTCATAAAACTGTGCAAAAGCTAACAAAATCTGCTGTCACAAAAATTGAAGGCAGCTACGGAAAATTGCATTTTATGATGAACATCAAAATTTATGAACACCAGAACTTGTGATGAACGACAAATGAAGGCTAACAACACCAGAACTCTATGATGAACATAGAAATTTGATTTAACAGAATGTAAACTGGTTTTTTCTCCACACCAGAACTGAAGGCAATTTTCAACACCAGAACTTCTGGAATTTTGATTAACCAGAACTTTATGATGAACACCAAAACTCCAATTCACTCAACTATACACCAAAAAACAAAGGTTCATTACACCATATATTAAGCATAATTTGTTTTTTTTTTAATGGATCTAGGGTTCTTATAAACCTGCTAGGTTTTCAATTTGGGGATTCATTTGGTGTAGAAGCGTTCGTGGAGAAGTAGCAGTGGAGAATAACGTTTCATTTGGGGGGAGAAAGCAATTTAATTAGTGGCCGCCTTGTCAAATTTTAACGGTGTTAGTGACACGTAAGATTTCCGTTGGCCATGTGGAGTTTTTTGTCTAATTGGACGGATGAAAGTGAAACGGGTGATGGATGGGTAACTATTTTCAAAAGTGGGTGAGCATTTGTTAACCAATTATTTTTGGGTGAGCAAGTAGTAACCGACCATAAATATTGATGATTGGTGATTTAATTAACTCTATATCGGGGACTAGGTGGTAGTGGTGGATTTGGAGGTGGTGCTGGTGTTGGTGGAGGATTAGGAGGTGGTGCAAGTGGGGGTGGTGGAGGAGGTGGTATAGGTGGTGGTGCAGGTGCAGGTGCAGGAGGAGGCTTTGGAGAAGGTGGAGGCTTTGGTGCAGGTGGTGGAAGTAGCTTTGGTGGCTTTAGTTTCTACACTAGTCCTTGAGCATTTAATGACCATTATTTTTCTTACTTGTCTGAACACAGGCAAACACTCATGTAAATATGCATCAAGATTTGAAGGATGTGAAGCTCTGGCAGGTCTTTTCAGCTAGATCTTTTCTTTGAAATGTTGTTAACTCCAGTTAAGTTTAGATTTTGAAGTCTCTGTTTGTCTCATATCAGGTTCACGTATTTTCTTCTTCATTTCTTGTTGGTCGAAGTAGGAGCCTTATTTTTGTCCCCTGTTAAGAATGTTTAGATAATTTTCATCTTATTCTTATAACAGATGCCTGATTTTTTGCATCACCTCCTAGGGTAATAGAAGAAGTGCGGGTTTTACAGATGAAGAAATGAAATCATTTCAAACAAACTTTTTAGACAAGGGTTTTGTGGATACCTTTAGGAAACATCACCCTGATGTTGTGGGTTTTACTTACTGGGGCTATAGGCAGGGGCGAATCTAGCATGAACATTCAGCTAGGAAGGAAGTTGACTTTGATCGTTAACCGCCGACAATCAATTATACTCAAAATCATATAAATGCGCTTCTCTAAACTTTTACGTGCAAGTTCAAGGTATTAAACAAGTACACACGTACTGAATCAAATCAAAATCAGACCTTTACATCAAAATCATAAAACGGGCTTCATCAAAACAAGCAGGTTCAATCACAGTCACACATTGAATTACACCAAAGCACATTAAACAATATTTTAATAAAAACCGAAGCTAAATTCATCAACAACCCAAAAATTGAACCATTATATAGATGGGTTGTCTATATAAATACATGAAAAATTGCACAAAAAAAATCACGGACAGTCTACAGAGACTTGAGAGACATAGAAAACTATTCAATCAGTGAACTCATTCAGTAAGCTCATTCATGGTGGAGTGAACTACAAAAAGATATATCACCTAGAGAATACTATTGTACTTAATAACATTCAATTCCTTGAGCTTCTTTTGAGTTCTGCCCACATAAAAAAGGGCTCAAGAAAATAAAGATTTCCTTTCAAACATACAAAATCATCAGGACTTACTTCAATAAACCTCCACTACTGGAACTAAAAAATTCTCTACAACACACAATAAATATAACTGCTTCATTCGAAGTTCTTTAAAACATCAAACTAAGTTTAAATAAAGTCATATTGTTGCCCCAATTTTAGTTAATCCCAATTATCTTTCTTTATTTACATACAAATTGAGATATCATCTTGAAAAACAAGGAAACAAAAAATTTACAGTCCTGTTCTGGGAAATGAGAACCCAAATGAAACACAGATTGCAGATTTTGAGTAACGCGAGCCCAAAAAATCATACCTGCCAAGTGCCAATATAAAATAAACTGCCAAGAATTTACAACAGGAGGATCGGGTGATCAATCTGATGGGAAGGAATTGGGGGAAAGAACTCAAGAAGGGTTTGCTCTTCTCTGATCTTTCTGCTGCCGGTTTGACGGAAGGAATTGGAGAAAAGACTGAAAGTGATTCTGGTACATAATAATCCATATGGATGCGGCCACCACCTGGATCCGCCACTGGCTACAGGCACGGTGGACGAAACTAACAGAGGTATCTCTCTCTTACTTCTTATAGTATCTTTTGCTGCTTCAATTCACTTTGTGAATATTACGAGTTACTCTCCAAACCTTTCCCCCACCCTCCAACCCCCTCCCTCAAAAACAAAAGAAAAAAGAAAAGATTTTGTCATATACTGATTTTAACAAAGAACCGACTACTTTTATGAGCTGAATGACTAGGTTTGGCCAATCTCATTTAACGAAAGGATCTGGAGGGCAAAGAATTTACTTAATCGCCACAGCTTGGTCATGATTTTCCTCTTGAAATTTTAGACTTGTAGATCAAAGAAAAATTTACCGTTTCTGTGTGTCAGCTTAAAAGCTACTGATTGGTTATGGTAAGTACTCTTTTCTGTATCCATGGGACAAATCTCAAAAAGAATAGAACTATTCTCTTGTGCTCTCATGGAATCACTGCATTTCATGAAAAGCGTTAATTTATAAGATAAAAATTTATTTTATTGGTTAAAGTTAGAAATAAGTTCGTTATTGTGAAAATGTATTTTTTGTCTATACATTAATGATAAAAACACGTATTTTTTGTCTCTGTTTGTTATCACCCTGTGGTTTCTCTTCTTAGCTCAAAAACCTCTAAGTTTTAAGTAGAAGTATCCATTAAAATTTTGATTATAAGAACCCCAAGACAAATGGAAAGAAGAAAATTGTACTGGAGTAGTGGAGTTGTGAAATAGTCACAGTCTGCCCTTTTGTTTTGATGGAAACCCTAACATCTTGAAGCATATGCATCTTTGGTCTCTTTCTTAGTGATCCATGGTTAGGTAGTAACTTATCTGTTTGGGGTTCTTGAGTTGTGACACCTTAATATAGTCCATGTTGAGGGAGCAATCATTTTCATCTTTCCTCAAAATAATCGAATGGTTATGTAGTCCATTAAAATTTGACTGAGTGTGTGACATTTCTTAAATTATAAACTTCAAGTTGGGGGTGTAGATGGGAGCTTGGTCAGTCACACTTATACCTGTAAGCGGTTTTATCATCTGTCAGCAGGTCTTGATATTGTGCATATTACCATTGATTGTTTCTCTTAGCTATGCCATGCCTTTTTGTTTTGATTTGCACAAATGTGGAAAAAGATTTATCTGTTTATTACCATATTCCTACTTTTACAAAAGATTTTGGTTTAGGCCACCACTTAGGTTGCATGTTCTTGATTCAAACTCTTCCTGCTTGTGTGAGTTGCAGTTCCACAAGGCTCAAAGGAATGCAGTTTTGTGTGTTTCAGCTTGCCTTCTGTGTATTGGTATGTGGCTAACAATGCTGACCACCTTTGGCATGTTTGGTGAAGTGTTTTGGTTCACCAAAACATCTTCTTCCATAGTAGTATGAAACAAGAAATTAAGTTTACCTCATTTCTAACTTATTAGGTGTAGTCAGTAATCAAAACCATGTTATGATTTTCCTTGACCTGCAGGTAATGTATGATGCAACTGGTGTAAGACTACAAGCTGGACGTCAAGCAGAGGTACATGGTTCTTACTGCTGTGGATTTGTACTAGTGCAAATAGATTGAAGTGGAAATTGACAGATGTACCCATAATTGTGTTAAGCTATAAATAAATGAGTTTTGTGCTGTCTGTTTTGAGAAACATCTATTGAACTGGAATAATTTTTTCGGGTTTTAAATCAAATTGTATGTGAACTTCCATCTGAGCATCCTCTTGCTGAGAGCAGAACAATTCGCAATGAGGGTTGGGGTTAGCAGCACATGACACTAAAGCTTGGTACAAGGGCATCCATAAATATCATTAATTTCAATATGAATTAGATGAAGAGAAGTTGGTTATGTTTTTTAATAGCATGCTTGCATTTTTTACATTATATATTCAAGCGTACAGGAGAATATTGTCATGCTTCACATTGTGTATTCAAAAATTTGTAATGAAATTATCAATTTTTATACAATTTCAAAAGTTGTCATTTTCAATTTTGCGAGTCAATTTACATAAATTATTGGAAAAAAACTGTTGCAAAACATTTACAGCCACGTTTAAACATTGCTGAAAGTGTCTTTCGCAATGTTCTTTCGCAACATTTAAAAAACTTTGCCATAAGTGTCCACACAACGTTTAAAAAACGTTGTCGAAAGTCTTTCTCAACTATAGTTGTTAGACCCGACTTGGACAATGTAGTGGGTCAATGGGTCAATGGTTTAACCGGTGACTCCGTGGTTCAATCGGCGGGTCAATTCCTACAAAAAAAAATATTATTATGTATTTTCATTGAATTTTTTTTTTTTCCATTTTCCACGAATAACAAAATTAACCTCATATTATTTTGTTAACTAAATATCAATTTGTATCCCAATTTCAAAAATTCTGGACCACGTATAGTTAAATATGGACTTGAAACAATAAAAACAACAACCGATAATTAAAAAAATAAAACTACATATGACAAGGTTCAACAAGGTTGCTTCATATACTTTAAGAGTATTCTTGCAAAAATAAAACAATGAACTAAAAGTTAAACGTGGCTAAAGAACATGATAACAAAGTAAATTATTTGAAGTAAGTTAATATTTTCTCAATTAAGAAGAGTTATGTGCATCCACGCTCGAGTCTTGGACATAAATTCTTCAATTCTTTCGCCTTGTACCAATGACGTAGTCTCAGTCATACTAAAATCTTCGTTTCCATTATTTGTATAATTTCCATTGTCATCATTTAGCTACTTTATTTGGACAGAAATTTGGAGTTTTGCATGTTTCTAGCTACTTTATTAATATGAATTAAGAAAAAAATTCAAAGATCTAAGGTTTCTCCTGTAAGCTTTATAGTTTACGCATATCTGCAAAGAGGCTGAAATATTTAAAGGATAGGCACTAGCATATACAAGGAGATATCTCAAAAAAGAATGGAGGTGGCCAATAAACTGAATAGGCTAAAAAGAAGAAGAAATTCTTGGACAGTGTCCAAGGAACCGGCTCTAAGCATCTTGACAACAAAGATCAGCAATATTTTAGTCTCTAACGGGTGCTGGTAATAACTATTTTCGTCTCTAACGGGTGCTCTTGAGACTACCAATATTTTACCAAAATCAACAGCAAAGCAGAAAATGGTTCTACAAAACCACCAATCAAATAATAAACACCTCAAACTGAATAGATTTAAAGCCTTTCACAAATCAAAATTGACAGAAACTAAAAGACTGATCTTAAATCTGTCTTCAACAAATTTCGTGGTTCAAGAAATACATGGAATGGACAATGAATGTAAATTAATAAGATGATAAAATCCGTCCAATTCAAGTCAACACCAACTCAAGGGAATATAAAATATAGCAAATTGTTATGTAAATTTAATTCCAATCCTAAAAGGGAAGAATCCGAAGACGCAGTCCCCTGCAATTTTGAAAACCAACTATATCTTGTTCTAAATACATGATTCACCACTGGAATATTTTTCCCCATCTATTATGTTTTGTAAGAATCTGAAATTGTGCAAAAACAACTATATATTGATCTAAAAAATTTGAAATACACCACAAGAATATTTTCAACTAATCAATCAAAATATATTTCTACTGGCTTCATACTAAACTGTGGTGGTGGTAGTGGTGAGGTGGTGATGTTGTGGTCGTAGTGTTGTGTTGTTATTGTTGGTGGTGGTTGTGACGGTGGCGGAGGCGGAGGCAACGACGACGACGAGATGGGATGAAAAGTGTTTGTGACCAACTATCTAATTGAATTTTTACCAAGTATTGGTGGTGGATCGGGATTTGGTGTTTGGTGTATGTGACCACCTATTTGGTTTTTTGTGACTAGCTGTTAAATTGTAACCTTAAAATTTGATAATTTGTGACCAACAAATTTGAAAATCTGCGATCGATAAATAAATTGTGATCTATAATTTTTTTATTTGTGACCGCGAAATAAATTGACCTATAAATTTATTTATTTTTTTACACCAAAATAATCTATGACCAATTAATTTAATAATATGTGACCAATAAATAAGTTGTGATCTATAATTATGTACCAGTGACAATTGATTGTATAATTGTAACCTTATTACATTTAATTAATAAAATAATTTTAATTAATAAATAAATACTTGATTTTTGCATTTTTTTTTAACTTAAGACCTAAAAATTAAATTGGTGATAATGCTCATAATAGAAATAACCAAAAAAAAAAGTAATGGGGCAAGAAGTAAATACATAAAATTTAAGAGATAATGTCCATTACGGATACATTTGTTAATGAAAGTCCACTGGAGCAGCTTACCCCATTGTCCCCTTTATAAACCCACGACTAGATGACAATAGTCAACTATATACAGTACTTGTTTGGGCTTCATTTTAATGTGATTTTGGAATAAAAATGTATTTTGGAGTAGTGATTTTTTGGAAAGTGTGGTTAAAAAATAGAGAAATTTTTGAATTCACGTCTATATTATTTTATAGAAAAATGTATAATTAAAAATGAGTTTTAAAAAAATGTATTTTAAAAATAATGAAACCCAAACAGGAGCATAACATTAGTTATATCCAGCACCAAATTATTTTATCTTAGTTTCAATTTTCGATTTAACGATTACTACCTCAAAATTTCAACAGCATAAATTTTTTTTATAACATTACTACAAAATCACACGAAATGCAAATGTTAAATAACATATTAAAATACTGTAAAAGAAGTTAAACGAGATGAAGAATAATTTATTTAGAATTTTTATGCTTCTTTTCGAAAAATCATTTTGAAGTAAAAAATGCCTCGAACAAATTTATAATATCCATTTATTTTATTATCTAAATTCGTGTTCATATCTATGTTAGTTTATATTCTAATTAAATGAACAAAATAATTTTAAATTTGACATTTATGTAAAAAGAACCTAAATTGCCAACTTAGTGTTATTTATGTCAATATCCCTATCTAAAACTATGAGGAATTGAGGATGTTACAAATTCAGTCCAATTAAATGGCTTCATACCCTTAGCCCGGTCCATCTCCCTCTTCAAGAAACGACGCCGGATTATGGCGGGTTGGGTATAGTCAGAAATTATAAATCCGAAGCAGGGGTAAAAATGGAAAAAGGAATTCGTGGGCGGGAAAAAGAGCCGTTGCTTACAAATCAGCAAAAATTGGCGCCAAAAGTTCTAAATTTTCACTCGGTTTCATCTGCCCGAATCTTTCCGGGCAGCTATTTCTTTTGCCCGTATATAAAACTCAGTTATAGCCTCATTTTGCCGCCATTGTTAGCAACAAATTCCCTTTTCTCTTTTCTTTCTCCGTATTCTTAGAACAAGGAATATTATCAAGAAAAATCCTTTTGGTTTATTCTTCTAATTCTCTTCTTCATTCCACCTTTTAATTTCCTTTTTCAACATGGGTGTTTTGAAGAAACAAGGAGGCAAAGAATCAGAAGGCAAAAAATGGTTGATTGCTGGAATCCCAGTACGGGCTCCTTTGAAATCGATATCTACAAAGCCTAAAGAAGGATGTGAAGATTATGACGAGTGTTGTACGACTCCGCCGACAGGAGAATTGAAGATACCGGAAATATTTACTTGCCCGGCGGCCCCAAGGAAGCGCCGGCCAAGTTTGAAACGTCATTTTGATGGCGTTGAGTTCTTCAATCCGCCGGACTTGGAATCTGTCTTTATTCTCCATGCTGAGAGAACGAAATGAATTTAGAATGAATATTAGATTAAGGGATTCTCTTTTTTCTTTTTAGAAATTTAGAGAGTTTGTTAGTTTCAAATGATTTGTAGGTTAGAATCTGAAGTGTGCAAATACTTTGTTCATTGCTTAATTGTGGTTTGGGTTTTGAATCCTGTTGAAGTTTGCAACTTTGTTTTTTACTTGTTTTGTACATCATGCTCCGGTAAGGAAGAAAATTAACTTCGATAAATTTTGTCTACTGTCTTTTGCAAAATCTCCAAACTATCAAAAGTGTTCTGTAATTTTTTATGTTCAAATGAAATAAATTTGGTGTAAAAGAAACTATCGAATTCAAATTTTACTCGTTATCTAGTGTAATTTTCCATCATATTTGAAATATTTCGATTTACAACGAGAAACCTAAACTTCATTCCTGTAAATATTTCAATTCAAATGCCCAATGATGATACATTTCAAATCCACTTGTTTACACACCACAGGCCACAACTAACTTCTTTGTATTTGTCATATTTACTTGTGAATAATGTTATTAAGAGTTTGTTTGGAAGTGATTTTGAGAATTAATTTTTTGACTGTTAGGAAAAAAGTAGGATCCACTTGTGAGAGAAGAAGTCAAATATGATGGTTGAAATAATGAAATAACGATCAAAAAATTAATTTTTTGGTGAAAAAAATCACTTCCAAGCAGGCTCTAAGCATCGTTGGTGCTAGAATACCAATCTAGATAAAATTAAGTGATAGGTTCAATGAAAAGTAGAATTAAGTTATTTATTTAAGAATAATATTATTTAGTATTACTGGTGTTAAAACATCAATTGAGGTTGCAATAATCTGACGTTAAATGAAAAATACAATTAAATGAGTCATTTAATTCCACCTATTATTGAACCTATTAGATAGCATTACCTAGATTGGTGTCGGAGTACACTGATACTAAATAGTATTATTTTTTATTTAACTATTCCTCTCATTGAATATCATATTAATACTACCTAAATTGATATTTTAACACTAATGATGATAAATAGCATTACCTTTTATTTATTATAGAAATCTTTTTCATGGATGAGAAGAATGCTTTCATAAATTGATTAACAATTGGACAAATATCTCCCACCCTTTCTTGGGCCCCACGTACAAATTTTCATACCCTAATTTCGTATATCTATGCCCTACGAAAACAATAAAATCTTTGCTGCCAACCCCACGTTCCTCGTAATGCTCCACCAATAATATAATAGGACAAAAACTTGTGTAATTGGAGTGTGTTAAATGAGAATCCTATGTGGGGTTTTGAAGACTTTAAGGTCTATTTGATATAAATTGGCCCACCCGATACTTATGACAAAGACATTTTGTGAACTCATCGTTTATTTTAAGAGGGTATTTGATAGGAATTTTGAGAATTAATTTATTGATCGTTAGGGGGTAAAAGTGAGTCCTACCTGTGAGAGAATAATTCAAAAACAACAATTGGAATAATGAAATAACAGTTAAAAAAATTAATTTTAATTGGCTTAAAATCTCCATCAAACACCATCTAAGATAAGACTGTGCTTGGCTTCCTTTTTTTTTTATTTTATTTTATTTTATTATTAAGCTAAGCCAAACATATGCTGAAACATGGGCCCAAAAATTTTTGTGACTTCAAATTTTCCTAGAACAATTAGCCCATTTTTCATTTTTATCCACATTTTTTTTATATTTATTTACAAGTACTATCATTTTATTCATAATGCTTATTTATAATTCAAATCGTCTATAAAACAATTTTCAAAAATACTTAGTAGATACGGTGAACGAGACCGACTAATGTTACATGTTTGGGCTCCATTTTATCTGCAATGCATTTTTCTCTCCTCTTTTTTATCATATTCTTCAATAAAATAATATTATACATAAATTTAAAAATTTTCCTTCATTTTTAACCACACATACTTCAAAAAATTATTATTTCAAAATATATTTTTTTCTCAAAATCTCATTAAAATAGAGCCAGCTAATGTCACTTATTAATGTTCTCAAAGAGATATTTTTAGGTAATGTTGAAAATATGTTAATGGGGAACATACTTTCCTTTTTTATAATAAAATAATTTAGAAAAAAAAAAAAAAAAGGAGATTTTGTGCATGATCAGCGACACAAAGGTCGTAACGTGAAGTTCAAAGTGCCATGGGGATCAACATCAAATTAAAATAAAATAAAAAAAATAAAAAGTTGAGGGCTAAATTTGTCAGATTCTCAGTCTTAGTCTAAAATTAATGTTGCAATTTGTAGATTGTATTTTCATCGGATTCCCTAAAGGATAAGTGTTGAATTTTCCTCGTTGTTTATTATGAGGAAGTAATATATGCTCTGTCCAAATCAATTTCTTTATTTGGTAAAAGATAAGTAGGAATCCAATGTAGGGAAGTCAAGAGCATGTTTGGCATAAGTTTAAGGCCCTGTTTGGCACCCATTTTTATCAAAATACATTTTTCTCTTTCTTCTTTTTAACCACACATTCTTTATTAAAATAATATTACACGTAAATCAAAAACTTTTTCTTATTTTTCAACCACACATTTCCCATCAATTTACTATTCAAAAATTCATTTTCACATAAAAATTCCTACCAAACACCCTCTAAATTACTCAAAGATTTAGATATTTAAACCCTAGAATTCATGACCCGGAAAGACTTTTTTGGTAAAATAAGAACCAATTGAAAAGAATGTAAGATGGTCCAAAATTTTGGTCAAATAATTGAAAATTTTAAAACTTGTTAAAATAATGTTAGAGTTGTATTTAAGAAATTATGTTTTTATTTATATAGCTAGACTTGTTTGGTTTGGTTGAAAATCGAATATTTAATAGATTTTTATAAAAATTGATGAAATATGTAGTTAAAAAGTTGATAATGTTGTGGATCTAAAATGTTTAATTGAAAATAAGTTCGAAGAATTAATTTTAAAAAATTGAGACCAAATATGAATATTTTGACTACCCATTCAAATCAAATTAACCATTTATCCGTTTTCAAAACAACGTCGATTCCAGTTTTCACTAGCATTGTTGATTTTGCTTTGCAGCACCATGCTTTTTCTAGCTATAGAAGTAAGGACAAACTAAGGGGTTGTTCTCTTCGTGTTTCAATTTTGTAATTTTGAGTTTTAAATTCATTTTTTGGGTTTCGTATTTTGAGTGTCTGTTTCGAAATTACTGAAAATGTGTTCTTTTTGTCATTTTGGAATCATTTTCAGTGTTTTCAATTTTTTCGAGTTTTGTACTGAAAAAGTCCAAAACGACAAAAATGTTTTTTTGTGTTTTCTTCACAATTTTTTTCGTTTTTGAAAACGAGAAAGAGAACGCGTTTTCACCGTTTTTAAAAATCAAAACAGAAAATGGTCCAAAAATGACAAAGAGAGCACACTCTAACTTACTTATTTTTAATTAAGGTCAATAAAAACTACTTACGAACCCATAAGTAACTTTCTTAAGTTTAGCCAAACATGAACTACGTGGGTTACAAAGTTGTAAGAAAATAAGAGATATTGCACGTGGGCCCTTTGAGGAATCCTATGAACAAGAAATTGGGGTTTGGGAATAATCACCAAAGCTATTTGCTCAATGGGCCCTTTAGGTTATAAACGCGGTTTAAGGCTCTTGAGCCGCCGTTGCCGGCCCGCAAATGAATTTTGTGCTGCCCGGGAAATTCAATTTTGGCGGGAAAAAGGGCAAAAAAAATTTCAATCGGCGCCAACAGAGATGGGCTCAAAAGACTCTGATTGTCTACGGCAGCTTGTTCGTTCAATGTGCTACAATAATAATTGTTGAAATATATATATATATATATATATATAGCCCCTATTTGTTTCTCATTTTATGCCCTTTAAAATGAAATATATGATCGTTATCTATCACATCAAGTCACCATATTTGACTTCTATTTCTTATGTGAGGCTCGTAACGCCTATATTTTTTATTTTCATGTTTACATTAATGTATATCAAACGGGGCCATAAAATTGAAAGTCGATTTGAAATATGGTTAGCCAACTTCGTATTATGTTCAAATTATAAAGCGATTATCCTTCGATGGTGGAGGATGCGGAAGCGTTAACTGTGCATATATGATGTCCTCATCCTTGCTAGACCCATGTTTGATCTTCATTATCTAAACTTACTTTTCTTAAAACTTATTTTTAATTACACATTTTCATAATAAAATATTTTGCATATAAATTTAAATTTTCTTTTCTAATTTAGCCTTACGTTCTCCAAAAATTCACTCTTTTTGAACTCATTTTCAAGGGAAAAATGAAAAAGAAAAAGAAGGGTGCTCAAGCATAGCTTATCAGCTAGATATGAAGTGATGGCGGGTGCAATTTGATTCATGTGCGTGGTACAAAGTCTCAAGATGGATTTTAGTATGACTCCAAATGCAGCCATATTATTTGACAACGTATCATTGCCCAAAGCTGTTGGAGGTGGCTCTTTTTAATTTATTCCTCAAGATGGGAACAAAGCGATCCACATTTTTTTGTCATACGCTACTTTATGTATATTTTTAGGGTGCATTTGGCGTGCAATATTACACTATGTACGATAACCTTTTCATATCCGATGTGTTGACATAAATAATACTAGGATTAAATTAATTCGATCAAGTTATACTACCTTAATCAGATAAATTTAAATCATCTAAAATTTTTGTCTAAATAAATATGTGATCATACACTAACACGGGTTTTAAATATTATACAACAAAACACTTGCACCTCTCCACTAGTTCCACCCCAGGCCCAGGCCCACACACTCCAACCCCCACGCTTAATTGTCATGAGCACATACTAAAACACAATACAACCCACTACATATACAAAAAGAATTGTCGCCCCCCAGGGCACATCCGAGTTGGTGGAACAATCACTTCGCTGGGACGCTGGAAGCAAGGGTGGAGGGCACATTTCTTACATTCTATGATGAAGAATAACATTTCGCATAAAGGGCTCGACTCCTTATCCACGACTTGAGAATCCTCCGTCAAAACAGCATGTCCTTCATTGCATTTACAATAAGACCCGGAAAATGAGGCCAACAGCCATATGTTGAATTGTCTCTATAGCATATAGAATACAAGAGTGGTACAGATTGTCTATTAAAAAAAAAAAAAAAAAAGAATTGTCTATTGTATTACAGGAGGGTATAGATTGCGCCGCATATTCGTTGGACCTTGAAAAAAAAAAAA